ACTCCTACTACTACTACTACTACTAGTACTACTACTAGTACTAGTACTACTACTACTACTACTACTACTACTACTACGGCTACTACTACGGCTACTACTACTACTACGACGACTACTACTACTACTCCTACTACTCCTACTACTCCTACTACTCCTACTACTCCTACTACTCCTGCTACTCCTACTACTCCTACTACTCCTACTACTACTACTACTCCTACTACTCCTACTACTACTACTACTGCTACTACTACTCCTGCTACTACTACTACTACTGCTACTACTACTCCTGCTACTACTACTACTACTACTACTACTACTACTACTACTACTAGTCCTACTCCTACTCCTACTCCCACTGCTACTGCTCCTGCTCCTGCTACTACTACTACTACTACCACTACTACTCCTACTTGTACTACTCCTACTACTCCTACTACTACTACTACTCCTACTACTACTACTACTACTACTACTACTACTACTAGTACTACTACTACTACTACTACTTCTACTACTACTACTACTACTACTAGTACTACTACTACTACTGCTACTACTACCACTATTATTACTACTACTACTGCTACTGCTACTGCTACTGCTACTCTGCTACTGCTACTGCTACTGCTCCTGCTTCTGCTACTCCTACTCCTACTGCCGCTGCTACTACTACTGCTGCTGCTGCTGCTACAGCTACAGCTACTGCTACTGCTACTACTACTGCTGCTGCTGCTGCTGCTGCTACTGCTACTGCTACTGCTACTGCTGCTGCTACTGCTAATGCTACTGCTACTGCTGCTGCTGCTGCTACTGCTACTGCTACTGCTACTGCTACTGCTACTACTGCTGCTACTACTACTACTACTCCTACTCTGCTACTGCTACTGCTACTACTGCTACTACTGCTACTACTGCTACTACTGCTACTACTGCTACTACTGCTGCTACTGCTACTACTGCTACTACTACTACTGCTACTACTACTGCTACTACTACTACTACTACTACTATTCACTAGTCTGAGCTAAGCTTTGGGAGATCAATCAGCACCTCTCCAGTCTCAAAAATCCTGGCGATGGCCTTTCCTGGGAAACATGTCCAGGGGTCTCCATGGCTTCCGAAACTGAAAAGTAAACATGTTTGGAACCAGCATTGGGCCAACAAGTGCCAATTGGAGGCAATGAATTTGCGATAAAAACTACGGCTTTTGGCATACCCTCTCGTTGTTGCATAGCTATGGAACATGGATCATTTGATTCAATGATTTACCTGTTAACAATATGGTAATTTTCCAGTTCGCAAACTGTGAAAATTGCAGTACCAGAAAATAAATTTGTACCAACGTCAGTATCCAAAGCCTATCCCCAAATGGTAGGTTTATGCCTTTGGGATCCTTTGGGTCTACCACATTAACAATCAAACCCAGCCTCAGTGCGAGCTTCCGTCCTTTCGCACTTCGCACAAGCGATGCACGGGACCAATTGGATTTTAAACGGGGCTATGGGACTAAGCTTTAAATCAATGGGTGATTTTCCAGCAAGCCACGGTTGATTACTGGGCGGTATGTCTGGAGATAGTTGGGTCTGAACAATTGGAAAACACCTCCAAATTTGATGAGAGAGACCGCTTTCTTTGGGAGTACCCACCATTTGTGGACGAGCCTACCTAGTACTACCTAGTGTTCCCAAAAGTCCAAACACATGCTTGGAAGTATTCCTCATTTTTTTAGGTATGTTCAAAAACCATCAACCCTCCGAAATGGATGGCCAGGTCCATTGGTACCACACTCTTCGCCCCCCATGGGCCCCATGGGTCCTTTGAACCTGCGACCTTCCGCCACCGGCCCTGGGAAGTACTCTGCACATGGCGATTTTGGATCAACATCGGTAGGGATGGTGGATTGCCATGGGGTGATTCTCCTAGGGCAATGCCTGTTTCATCGCAAACGAAAAGGATCAGCACATGGCGTACACACGTTCTTCTTTTCTACACAACGAACCTGCTTGGCTGCTTCAACTTGAGAAGCACGCAAACTCAAAAAAAATATGTATCCAATGAACACAAAATACACAAAAATACAGCAAATAACGCACAAACTAGTCTTAGTATGTCTTGGCATGTCCAGGAGTGTCCACTGCCAAACAAAGTTCGCATCAAACAGTCGCCAGGGGGGTGGCCAAAAAAGCAGCGATGCCTTTTTTTGGGCGGATGAAATGGTTGAAACATCAGGAAATATTGAAGCAAACTTTGGACATCTTTTGAGTATGTCTATTTGGTACTGACCAGCTTGGAATGGGTGGATCTTGGGACCTTGGGACCCGGCCTCCGTGACCAAACCCGACCAGGACAGCCTACACAGGAAAGAAATTAGAGATACAATGGGGATTAACCATGTTCTACTATATATATATATATATTATATATACTATATATATATTACTATAGGTAGATCATATTACGTTCACTAGATTTACTAGATATTGTTCACTAGATTCAATGGTTATCCAAACTGTTACTCGATACTATATATGAAACTACATGTTACTACTCTAACGGAGTGTATATGTTACTATATCAGTGGATATCGTGGTTGTTTTACTATTTCGTTATTTCACAACATCTGGATACGTGGCTAAGTTCACTGGAAATCCTTGGATGATATCGAACAAATCGTGGAACACGTAGCAAGGGTGCCATATTCCGACTTCAAAACCCAACACCGAAACATGACTGGACCAAGGCCAATTCTCTGAATATTTCATGTACCCAAAGCAAAAATCAACACCAGCATCTTTGGATATTTTTACAGTAGATATATTTAAGTAATATCAGAACAAGTCGTTGCTTTGTTTTCATTGGTGCTGCCCTTTGTTATCTTTGCTACCGGCACACGGACCCCAACGCAATTGGTGCTGTACAAGGCCCCCCCTTCGCCCACCTTCATCGCACCTGAGGTGCCATGGGACCAGCCAGGGCAGTCCCAACAGTTTGAACTGGCCATGAGGTGTGGTTGAACCATGCTGTACTATCTGTACAAGGTGGTGCCCCCAAGATAGCTAAGTTGGTGCAAATAACTCGAATAACTAGGGTTTATAGGTGATATCCCATTTATAAGTAGAGGGGGCACCACCTTGTACTGACTTTTTGGGGGACACTTATAACTCTGAAACTTGGGAAGTCACTCTTTTTCACCACATCGCTTGACTCTTGCACTAGGTTTGGGTACGACAAGATGCCACGGTTTTCAGGGGTTTTTCAAGGACCCAACCGGAGCTGAGTGTCAAGTCTCTGTGGATTCTGGTAGACAAACGTCTCCATTGAGAAAATGACTGTTTTTTTTTTTGTATAATGACATATAATGATATAGGCCAAAGGATGTAGACCCCGTGATCCCGTACTTTGATTTACCATGGACAAAACCATCCCCAGCAGAAACCCTGACATGGCGGAGGAAAGCGGAACCCTGAAGTTTGGCTTCCTCACATCCGGCGTCCCGGCGCCGCACCTCAAGTTATAGATAAGATTTCACGTCACCAGCAATTGTTGATATTGTTGTGAAACAACTACCTAAACAATCCAAGTCATCTTTTTGTAGCCAGAAAATAGGGGAAACGATCCCTTCCGAATTGCGGACTTTTACCACAATTGACCAACATAGAAAATTGAATCGATCTGAGGCTGAAATTGCATGAAAATTCAAACCAAAGGCCAAAAACCTAAGAGCCTCACGGGTCTTGGGAGCAATCTTCACCTCGGTGGTGCAGGAACTCAAGTAAATTTGTGTTTTTGGATGTTTTTGATACATGTGGATGCTGAGGGATCCGGAATCTTCACTGGCTTGTTTAATAATTAGTGTTTTTTTCTTGTATTCCACCGCGAGGGAAGTGTTCAAAACTCTGTCGTTCCTTGGTTGGTCAAGAACTAGATCCCCAGTTCATGGATTCTGTTCATCACCAATTACCATAAACGGTTGGTACAGACCCCGAACTAATCATCAACCAACAGAGGTGTCTTGCAGCCACAGCTTATTTGGTGTTACTTAGCAAAACGTCCGTTCAATCCCCTTAAACCCCATTAAAAACCAATTAACATTCCAATACAACTCCATTAAAATCTCATAAAATCCGATTCCCATGAACATCTTCACAATGATTGAGTTTCAAGGACAGCGTGGCACCTTTTTTTTCGCATTCCAAAAGCCACCGTGGCCTGGAAGCCGATCCACGGCAAAGCGACGACGCTCCAGGACCTGCAGGATGCCCAAGTAGGGGGAGCCTCGATGTCGCGTCGCGGAGAAAAACTGGGTCACTTCTGGTGAAGTTGGTGAAATGGTCAAAGAGTTGTTCATGTATACAATGAAATATATATATATAAGTATATATATAAGTATATATATATAAGTATATATATAAGTATATATATATAAGTATATATATATATATAAGTATATATATATATGTATATAAGTATAAATATATATATAATATAGAGAGGGAGAGTGAAGTTAGAGAGTGATGCCAAGAAATGGATCGGATTTCACTCAGAACCAGTCACTTTTCTCTTGTGAAACTGATGCTCTTCAAAGAAATGATTTTGGGTGCGTTTGCTTGAACATGGGGTCTGCTCCAAATGGCCAGACTAGTTGGAGCACGGCCTTTAGAATGCCGTGCTGTTTCGTGCACATCGGGGGTTTGGGGTGGGGTGGGGTGGGGTGGGGCATGTATTAACGTTCATTTGAACTTGCGGAGGAAGTACATTCTTCTCGGTGGATTCTAATAAGTAGATTGATGCACGGGGTGGGGTGGGGTGGGGTGGGGTGGGGCATGTATTAACATTCAGGCTACGTCATGCTATGCTCGTGTAAGTTCTCTGGTACTTTTCGAGGATACGTCATGCTACGCTCCTGTAAGTCCTCTGGTACTTTTCAAGGATACGTCATGCTACGCTCGTATACGCTCGTGTTAGTTCTCTGGTACTTTTCAAGGATACGTCATGCTACGCTCGTGTAAGTTCTCTGGTACTTTTAACTGATACGTCATGCTACGCTCGTGTAAGTTCTCTGGTGCTTTTCAAGGATACGTCATGCTACGCTCGTGAAAGTTCTCTGGTACTTTTAACTGATACGTCATGCTACGCTCGTGAAAGTTCTCTGGTACTTTTCAAGGATACGTCATGCTACACTCGTGTTAGTCCTCTGGTACTTTTCAAGGATACATCATGCTACGCTCGTGTAAGTTCTCTGGTGCTTTTCACTGATACGTTATGCTATGCTCGTGTAAGTTCTCTGGACTTGTCCACGTATAGAGAAAAGATATTTACCTGCTCACATGGTCTTGAAACACAAAGACCGTGGGCATTCAACGATGCACCCGTCAGTAACACAATATGTGTTCATGTGGTGCTGGCGCTGCACCTTGGACACTCCAGATCCCCAACGGTTCCTGGAAGAACTCGAACAGTTGCTGTGAGAAAAAAACAGCAGATGTCAGCTGGAATCTTGGGCAAAGTGTCAACAACACAAAAAAATGTGGTTTCGCCTAGGCGAAATGATTGTTTTTGATTTTATGAACCAGAATAAGGGGTTTCTGGCCTTTAAAATCATATCACACCACTACAGGTCGAATTAGTTGGGGAGTTCTGAGAAACATCAAAAATGATAGTTTCGCCTAGGCGAAATGCTTGTTTTTGATTTTATGCACCAGAATAAGGGGTTTCTGGCCTTTAAAATCACATCAAACAAAATCCTATTGGCAAACGTCATCCATGACACCCCGTCCTTCTAAAGGCCGTGTTCCTAGTTTAATAGGGAAAATGATGATTAGTCAGTAGATGTGTTTTTTTCACCCAAAAAATGTTCAGGTTTCAAACCCATTGCACTCATCAGCTTGTCATCGCCAAGGGACAGTTCTGACCTGCTTCCAAAGTTTGATGGTAGTCAAACCAGCATGCATGCGCGTCCACAGCTGCCTTCATCCTGTTCCAAAATTTCAGAAAAGGATGGCCGTTCTGGTGAACCGATCTGTGCCAACAATATGACATTTCATATGGGATTTATATATATATATATATTATATATATACATATATGGGGATATTCGATATTCAGCTGCAAACACTTATCTTTTGTGGTCGGATCTACATTAATTTGGATTTGACAACTGGTACTGTATTTGTGAGACTTATGATATCTTATTATTGTACTTGTTGATAGGAGTTGCGATTGGGTTTGACTAAAGCTGACGGGTTTCCCACCAACATCCAAAATCCAGTGCTCTAGGACGTTGGATTCTTGTCACCACATATTCGCGAAAAAAAGTTGTGTGATATTTCCTTAAAACATCTTAAAACATTGGCTTCAAACCAAGAAAAGAGAGCTGCAGAGCGGTGTTTCCGTCCTAAACAGCTTCTCTCTTGGCATCGACAGCAGGTAGTGGTAAAGTCCCATGTCCACATCTGCCATGGGCCACTTGATGGAAAAGTCTTCCCAGTTGATGTCTCCTTGAAAGGGAACACCAAAGCTATCGCCTCGGTGGCTGGTGGCCTGACAAACAAAACCAGCATCAAATTGATACCATGTACCCGGCCTGGTAACAAAAAACATCTGGTTAAAATCACCATGCTATAAACATGGGAAAATATGGAAAATTCACCAACTAAATGGTGATTTTCCATAGTTATATGTTAAATTACCAGAGGGTATCATCAATAGGATCAATGGGTCTCCACAATGATCCCCACAATGATCCATTGGAACTTGATCATCTTGATCTGCTGCAGTTTGAAACAAATCACCATCCTCACATCCCAGACAAATGAAGGTAAAACACTGGTAAAAACACGGGTTTCCTGCTACTTCCTCTAAATGTTCACTTAAACAAATCCAATGAAAGCCTACAGGGTGGTGCCCCGGATGCTTTAAAACCTCTGTCAACGATAAATTCATGATAAATCCAAGTGATCTTACAAACCAACGCATGACTAGATCCGAAAAATAAAGTCAATCGGATCATGATCTTAATCCGATGGATTTTAGTTTAGTGATACATTTTCGTGATGCTATAGCTCCCACAATAGCTCCAGCCAACATCCGATGCCACCGTTGTGATCTCCTGCTTCCACGGCGCTGAGGATCACGGGGATGCAGCCTGCGAAGAAGGACTCGTAGAGATGATTCGTCCACGAGGACGTTCCCATCGGCACGAGGCAAAAATGCGAAGCACCTGGGGATGGATGGGAAAAACATGGGAAAACACATGGGTTTCTAATGGGGTACCCTCTGGTAATTGAACATAGCTATTGAAAATTGCCATTTATAGTGGATTTTCCCATGAAAAATATTGAAAAATGGTGATTTTCCATAGTTATGTTAGTTTACCAGAGGGTAAACACATGCTGAGGCCATAGAAACCATGGGAAACCTGAAACAAACCTGAGTGAAACCAAGAGATACATCAGATAGCCTCACAAAATGATGACAATGGAAGGAGATTCGCCGGAAAACCGAAAGGTAGCTTTGGTGCATGTGCATATATACTCAAATGTGATCAAATGTGCATCTCCAAATGCAACCAGAAACACGCGAGTTGTTTGCCCATAATATGCCTTCAGAATCCGCACAGAGAATTTTAAACCAGCGGAATCTTGAAAGGTATTTGCAATGATGAGCAGCCAACAATCGGAAATACTGTTCAGTGCAATGTCTTGCTGAAATCGGAAACTCACTTCCCAAAATGACCCAACATGATTTAGGAATGCATAATAATAAATATAGAACGATCATGAACGATCGTCGTAGTTGTCCGGGTGAGAGGTTTTGATACACTTGCTACATTTTCACATAGTTGAACACTACAAATCCAATGAATGCCATCTGTATGCACTGGACAGCATATTTGTCATTGATGTTCATGTCGGGGACAAAACAAAACATAGACCTGCATAAACATAATCAATCATACTCATATATAATTATTCATAATCATCAACCAACCTCAGTAGTCCATTTACCCCCTGGTTATGACTAACATAGCCATGGTATAAATGGCCCATAGAAATAGATGCTTTACCTGGGTTTACCTGCTAAAAATGGTGATTTTCCCCCTTACATTGTTACATCCGCCAGAGAGCGACCTCTTTCTGAGGGCCGTGCATCTCGTGCCAAGTGACCCATGATTTCAAAGTAGCCCTCTACGAAACCACCCACACTGACACCATGAACTCCTCCGCAGTGAGGAAATTCTCATTTTAAAAAATCTACGGCAAAAGGATTCAAATAATATAATGATTATATAGTGATTCTAAGAATCTATGGCATTATGAGGAAATTATGTGAGGAAATTCTGATAAAGCCATCCCCAATGATATAGTGTTATATTCTCACATAATATATATATATATATATACACACTGGTTGGTGGTTTCAATCCCTCTGAAAAATATTAGTCAAATGGGATTATTGTTCCCAATATGGAAATGGAAACATAAAAAATGTTCCAAACCACCAACCAGTATATATATATGCAATATTATCTAGTCTATATTATATATGCCAGAATCAACATGTCAATATCTGGTTACGATCTCCAAAACCAGCCAGAACAAACAAAAAACAAACACACACACACACACACCGGTCTTCCCTTTGAACACCCCCGGCGGCCCAGCAGTTCTCCGTGCCGCTCCTGTGAAGGTGTCGATGATCTTCCCGCGGACGACGTTGTCCTTGTAGTACGATGGACCAAAGCCAGGATGTCTGCCGTGAAAGTTGAACAGCAGGTCACGTTGATGCGATGGGAGGTTCACCTGGAGATGGTACATCATGGTACATCAAATCTGGGGTAAATCTGTGCCCCCAAATACCACCCAAGAATGGGAAATGTACTAAAACTCTGGGGCAAAAACATGATTTTTGTGTGGGTACTTCGAGGGTCTAGGTGGATACAATCTGTAAAGTCATCAATTGCAGTAGCCCAACTCCTGGTTCTGAGTTCTAGTACAAGACACATACATCTGGAAGCTCCCCATGGGTACTGGCGACAGACTCGTCTAGTCCTGCATCTTTCATTCCTTAAATCACTTAGATGTGCATCCTATACTTAGTAGGTGGGTATAATACCCTCTGGTAAACTAACATAACTATGGCATAACTATGGAAAAACACCACATTTTTCATGGGGAAATCAACTATGTGTCTAATGGGCCATGTTCAAGTTCGCAAACTGTAAACGTTTACCATGCCGTTTTCTAAGCATACTGTCACCCAGATATACACGGGATATGCCTCACGCATTCTGCGAAAGCGGTAGTAGTCAGGATGGCCTGCCAACATCAGACGGATGCAATAGCCGATGTAATTAATATCTCTACATGAATGGTATATTAATGGGATATGGTATATTTATAAAATGGGATATATTAATTGTATAATGGTACATCAATATTGTATATTGATACCTAATATATTTCTAATGGTTTTTTTGATGGGATTTGTATAATGGGGTATCTATATAACAAACAACCATATTGTGAATATAGGTTAATATACGTCAGGTGTGTCTGAATGAAATATCTACCCCAACAATGGGAAACATGACCATCAAATTGTGGGGCACCCTATTTTCAGACAATCCCATATTGCCCTCTGGTTATGTCAAAATAGCTATTGAACATGGTGATTTATAGTGGATTTACCCATTGAAATGGTGATTTATAGTGGATTTACCCATTGAAAATGGTGGATCTTTCCATAGCTATGTTAGTTTACCAGAGGGTATATTGACAGGCACTCCGGCCCTCTAAAGGTGTCTAGAACGGTGGGAAAAAACAACTTCATTTGGGTAGTCCAAATGGGACACACTTGACGTTGGCAAATGGAACACGTTGCGGCTGAGATGAGAAGAGATGGGGATGCCACGGACCAACCAGGATTGGCTTTAGCTGATTAGCAAGATGTATGGTGGGTCATTTTCCTGAAGCTGGATCAGCATACCACATACTTGCTTTATGGAAAGCACTGAGGTGTCAGAACCGGTATCTAGTCCACTGTGTCCCTCAAACATACGTATTCCAAGAAAGCTTTTTGGCAAATCAGCAGTAGCCATGAATGTGAAGTGTACTCCGACAATTAGATGGTCGGTTTTGAACATGACCAAACAGATCCAAACAGTATCAAAAGTATTCAAAAGTCACAAATGGCAGGTCTTCAAAACAATGACCCATACACCACAAAGTTGTTGGTGATATATATATATATTATGTGTATATATATATGTATATATATATATATATGCTGTGTATATATATTATGTATATATATAAATATATTATGTATATATATATATTATGTATATATATATTATGTATATATATATATGTATATATATATTATGTATATATATATGTATATATATATATATTATGTATATATATATATGCTGTATATATATATATTAATTAATTAACAGATATAATATATAGTCCTGGTGATATCCCCAGTGAAGCCGTGGCCTGGTACCACCACATCCTTCCAGGGATTGAAGCAGCTTGGACCGCAGCCAGGAGTTAAGGCCTGTGGATGGAAAAACTGGAGGCCAGGACAAGATCTGCAGCAAATTTCTATGCAATAGATTATAATATATAAAAATAGATTCATGAATGTCATGTCTATAATGTATATACAACATTATACAACCCACACGTGTAAAAAAATGTGGTATATGGCATAGGCTTAGGCATTCTTACTCTTCAGAGGGGCATTTCCACGGCGCCTCTGTCGTGAGGAAAACCGAGTGACTGATGTGATCACGCCACTCCTGACCAGCGTCGTCCAGGCGGTGAAGCCAGGGGGAATGGCAGTGGTTTATCCAAGAATCGGTGCTGCAAGGCCACAAAGAAAAAACTGACCTATTTGTTTTGGGAAAACTCACGTGTTCTGTTGGTTTGTGTGGGTTGAATCTCTGACAGGCTTGACAAGGAGATTAGCAATGGTCCTGCAGCCCCTACTAAGTTGTAAATCAGTTATGCATTTATAAGTATATATATATAGGAATTACCACATGTTGTTTTGTCACCACCTTCACGAGTAAATAGGAATGGCCTTCCAAAACCATTATTGTGACATACTGTATCCCATTCAACTGCAGATATGATTGACCAAAAATCCAAGAAATATTCTAAAACAAAATCAATTGCATCAATTTGTGTTGCTCATGCGGACTCTGTAAACCATCTTTGCCGGGTTAACCCTATATGTTCATTGCTGAAGCAACAGCAACATTGCTGTTGTCCCACGGGTAAGCCGTTGGGCCCCGCTCCGGGAAGAAGTTGAGTCCCTGGTCCGAGAAGATGAAGATGTGATCCCTTCCAAGCTGTCGGGACCAGTGGGGCAGTAGCTCCTCCTGGCGATTTTATCCGTGGTTGATAACCACTGGATTGATTTGAGGCTTAAACAAATGGAGGTTTCATCATCATCATCGTCGTCGTCATCATCATCATCATAATCATCATTTCTTGGGTGTTTAGCCATGTTTAGCCATCAAAACTATCGGGATATCATTGATAACTAATGCTTGATGGATGATTGTAGGTTGCATTGTCCAACATTTATTGGGAAATATCATCATCTGTCATGGAAATCCCGTTCTTAACCAACGAGTATAATGGATCATGGCGTACATCTTTGGAAGAAGAACAGCTCCTGTGATGCGATGTGGTATCTTCAACCAATCAATCCTCAACGAACTATCTCAAGGTGCCCGCGGCCGATCTTTTTGAAAAAGGTTCCAAAGATTGTGGGATATCCAAGACTGGTTCAGCTGACATTGTCACGCGGACGGCGGCATCAAGTGCTCATCATGAAGCAATGATCATCGAAGTGCAAATTACGACTCCCCAAGAAGATGAAACACAGGCTGTTTGTACAGCTTGAGGAAATTCACACCTCCCTACGCGGCAACTTGAAAACGCCATCTGCCAGTCCTTGCGATGCATCAAATCCAAATAAACTGCTGAGATGTCTCCGATGGGTTCTCGAGACCTAGGGCGCCGGCGGTAAACCGACGGAAATTTGATGATTTCTTTTTAGGGGATATCATATATATATACCCTCTGGTTATGTGAGCATCAACAAATCGAAATCTAATGGGATTGAATAGGATTTTCTAGTGTTATCGTCTGGTTATTTCACGTACCTATGGAAAAAAAATCTGTTTTAAATGGGATACATCATCACAAATCATCTAAAATAAATAACCAAACGATATCAAAGCCTGTTGAGCATAGAACATGTTGTTCATCTGTAATACTAATATCACACTAATATCAAAAAATGAAGGTTTTATGGTCTAAGAAACTATGACCTTTGTCCATATGGACTGGAATTTCATATTGTCCAAAGGATTTCAGTCCTACGGAAAGTGAGGATCAGGTGCTTGGCAACCTGGCAACAAACCACTGGTCACAACTGTCACAACTGTCACAACCTGCCAAAGCTTGGAGCTTCACCAAGGCACTGGTTCATCCGGAAGATCATACGATCACACCAGGTGTGCCAGGGAACTAAGAAGTAGTCGGCCTCCTGGGCAAAAGATTCTGGAGATGGAAATCCATGGAATATCAAATCTGCTTGGTGGTTTTAACATGTACCATCTTGAAAGATATGAAAGTCAATGGGAAAGATTATCCCATATATTATTAATGGATCATAAAACATGTTTGAAACCACAAACCAGCAAATATAGAAGACATCTTAAGAGTCTATCTTGTTCTTAATTCAGATATGTTCAGCAGACTTCAGTCAGAAAGTCAAGGACGGAAGTGAGTGCATCCGAAGTGGGAATGTCTCCGCAACCATCAGAGGCTCAGGACTCCTAAGTTTTAAAATCCAACTGTGTCTGGGAAAATAAATGAACATATACTATCTGGGTTGTCCTAAATGCTATGGGGGGAAATTATGAGCTCTTCAGTGTTCTCACAACAAACAGCTCGGTGCTTCACTCCAAACCTTTGGAAGATGGTGTTCCACCAGGAGTGCTGCTGAAAAAATCTACTTCCGTTTGGAGTGTCATGTTCAACTCTACTTTATTCATGTTCAATATGTTCATTCTACTTCCGTATTACTTGTTCAAGTGCGGTTCCAGTGGCTTCCAACTCAGTTTGAACATCACATTAGCCATATTCACCATAGTTACCATAGTTCCGGCCCATCGCCCATCCCAACTGATGGGCTTTTGAGCAGCGCCTCGGGATTGGAGGTCACACACGTCCCAGCACGAAACCACCAGGGGATCAAAGCTTCCAAACCCCACTGGCCATGCTGACAATGCAGAACTCCTCGGGCGCCAACGGATCCAACAAGATGCCGAAACGACAGACATACGTGGAACACATCCTTTTTCACTACCCTGGAAACATTGTTTGGCATATTTTTTTTTATATTTTGAGGGTTGGCATATGAATATTTTTTGGACAGAAATATAGTCCATTCTCATTTATATCAACTGGATCTACATATATCTACATTATATGTGTCTACGTAATGTATGATGTCTTGGATGTATTACGCATTGAACTATATGCAAAAACTCCTGAGGGGCTGCATAGTTTTTTGCTGTATTCACTAAAACTGACATGCTAAAATCGTGTAAAATTCTGGAACATCCCGAAGTTATAATGCGTGGAGAATTGTCTATGACAATCCCCGGTACAGAGAGGGTCGTTTTTAAACCCCCTAATTAGTGGCCCCGTCAATTCAATCAGTCATTCGAGGGTTGTCTGAAAATGGGCTACACCTTTTGTCATGAAATGTGCTGTACCTTTTCTGGCTCCGCGTCCCCGCGAGATCGTGCGATTCTCAGTGTTTTTGATATTTTGTTTGATTTTCCGAGTTCTTTCAACAAATCCAAGAATCCTCGTTCAGCATTTCCAGCGGGCGTCCAGTCAATCAACTCATAGATGAAGAAACGTAGCTGGCTGCCGTAACCTCACAACAAGAAGGGACCCTGAAGGGCAAACACCCAAAGGTTGCCCTGGCGGTCTTGAACCTCTAGATGCTGAAACCAGGGCCCAGGGAATCATTGGTGGCTTCACAGGTCGGGCCATGTTTTCTTTGGATCCCCTCCTTTCAACATCCATCGCAGAACCAGCCACAGTTATGAGCATCAGAGAGCCCCAGCAATGAGGGATAAATGACCAAATCGTGCCTTGGATGAGCAGAAAAGCAGTAGATCCATCTCGGGAGAATGCCCAGTGCCCACGTGCCCACAGACCCGTAGCAAGAACAATAGTTCAGTTCTATAGCCTCCCAACTCCCCTAGAGTAGTCATGGGGCCCAAAAAATAAATAGATCATAATTTAAGATCCAATATGATCTTCAATACAAAACCAGGGTTTTAGGACCATTTTTTTTCAACATCCCAACCCACATATTGGATAGCACCCAAAAAGCCACGCTTTAGGACTTGATCTATTCAATATCATCTAAGAAAAATCAACAAACTCCGAGAGCATACCCGTTGCCACTCAGAGATTATTTATTAACTTTGTGAAAGGATTCCTTTCATTTGTTGGAGGTACTTGAGGCATGCTTCAGAGGTATCTTCAAATCATCTTTGATATCATTGGGGGTTGAACGATTAGCATTGTCCTCGATTTGTACAATGTGTGTACCCGCTAAAATTGGCAAAGGTCAAAAAACACTATGGATAATTACAAGGTAGGGGACCCTACATAGCCAAGTCGGATTCTACCTGGCTTCAGTATGGTTCATGTCAAATATATACAACTACTGTCTAAAGTTCACGGGGGTAACAAACCAACTTATAGCTAGGGGTGCCAACTGGTATGATACCCAACTGTTCTAGGTACTCGGAGCATCTTGGTCCTCCAATGACTGCACCCCCACTTCAGAGAGGCACGTGTCAGGCCACCACTCAGCTTCTTTGGCCTCTTCCTGGTGATTCACAAGCACCAACATTTGGGATTTCTTCACTCTCCAATAGAGTAAAACATGGTGGTTCAACATGGTTTATGTAACCTTTAAACACATTGAATTCAAAGGATAAATATAATTGGATAACATCATGTACTCTCCAGTGAATTAACATAGACCTTGAACATGCATGAGAATAGCAGTTCTAAAAGTGGAAACACATCTTCCAACCCCCTATTTTGGCAGGGTCTATGCTAGTTGCGTGGGATAGTATTGTGTATGGTCGGTACAATGAGATGAGATGAGATGAGATTAGATTAGATGACATGAGATGAGATGAGATGAGATGGGATAAGTATATACAGTAATCACCAATCAGATGATCGTGTTATATTATATTGATGTATAGATATGTATAGTGTGTCGCAAAGCGGGAATCACATACTGTTAAAATGACATAATTGCAACATTGCTCATAAATACACAAATCTTGGAAGCACATATCACAAAGCAGTTGGGTGTTGTGGTGTGGGCCCAAAGTTGATCAACAAATTCTAAATTGGATGCTTGGAAAGAGTCAAGAAGAAACATTGGCAGTGAATAGCTCATATCCAATTCATATTCTAATCAAAGGTCAACGGCTGAAATTTCAATGCTTCGGGAATTCGGTTTTTGGTACAGTCCTCATGCGTATTGGTGAAATAATGTCAAATCCTCTATGTTTGGTGTTTATTTCACACATGTTGATGGCTAACTCCAGCCCCGAACTCCATCAGATTCTGGTGTTTGATGTTTGCATCCGTGGCTTTGCTATATTGAATAAGAAAAACATCGACTGTTTATTGTTGGCCCAATTCATCAGGGATAAATCATCATTTTTGTTTATTCACATATTGAAGATGGTGATGAACTCTATGTTTTACCTACCCATGACGGATCCATGTATGCTATATATATATATTATATATGGTAACATGGATCCCATCAATATACCCCCTTTATGTTAGCATATATACCAGCACCATGGATCCGTCATGGGCTCCCAAGATGTCGCCTTCAGCGCTTCCAGGCGTTTCAAAAGGCCCTGGAGCTCCAGGAAAACGCTTGCGGCAGCGGCCTGCGACTGGGATATCTATTAGTTACCCTCTGGTTATGACTAACATAGCCATGGAAAATGGTGATTTTTAAAAATGGTGATTTCCCATAGTTATGTTAGTTTACCAGAGGGTAGTTGTTGGATGTTTAAAAAATGCTTATTAGCTCATATTAGCTCAGAAGTCCTAGACAAGCAGTTCATCTGTCATCTGTTTTTAGAGTACAGTCATCGATCGATGTTTTTCTAACGACCCATTGACCCACCTTTCTGTATGACCAACGCCGTCTGGTGGTCCATTCGACCCATCCCCAAGATGCAAATGATATAGGGATAGAACTAGAGATACCCTTTTTTTCTCCATGTATAGTATATTTATCTACAAAACTGGGCCATTTGTGGGGTAAATGTAGGTAAATATTCCAGCACCATGGAGCATATGGGATATTTTTGGGGATGCTGTTTGCTCCATGTAGCTCCATGAAAGCTGCGAAGGTGGAACAAGGGCCAGGTTGGCAAACAGGCAGCTTCCCGTTGGAAACAACGAGTTTCAAATTGTTTTTTTTTATTGTTTTAATCTAAGAGTATCATATCGAGTTTCTAGTCTGGAAATCCAAAACCATGACATACGATTAGCCACATGTTGAAACTGAAAGAAACAAATTGAACTTGAACACAGAAAAAAACTGAACCCTGAGACTCCGAACAAAAAAAACATTGACATCGGCCACCAGCCCTCAACAGCGCCAATAGCGCTGGAAGACCTGGCCTGACCGTAGTCATAATCAATCGATCTCAATGCAATCATCATCGCTACTAGCACACCAAACGCACAATCCTCCAGATCGGGTCGCCATATGCGAAACAACAAAGAGGTGTGCTTCAGGGAGGGGTCCAGCCGTCTTTCGGCAGGGTGTCCTGAATGACACGGACCCAGTACTATAATATAGGTTTCTAGTTCTAGCTCTGCACTCGTTTGAAACATCGTTGAACAAGTTGAACACCGTGGATTCTAATTGGATGCCATATCCAGCAGAGTTTTGTCAAGATTCACAACCAGTCCTGAATATGCTCCTCCACTGCATCTGCATCAAGGATGGCATTGTACAATTTGGCAAGCCTCGGCGGCAGGCATGTGAGAGGTACTGGATGGTACCGGTGGCATAGCGAGATTGGCGAGGGGTCCTCGATTTGTTCACCACTACTGGGCTTATGTATCACTAGTATTGAGTACTCAGCAATGGGTATACCGCAGAAAGTTGTGTTTTTCCCCATAGTAGGTAGTCTGCAATCCGTGGTAATCCGTAGTCCGTAATCCGGAGGTGTCTGAAGATTGCCCTGGAAATCCTAGACAAACATGTAATTGGCAATCCGCTCAAAAAACGTCAAAAAACAATCCTCCTAATTGGGGGCTTAACTTTGAGGGGATCAGTTTCCCCATGATTCGTGGTTGAAAAACCTCGTCGTCATGATGAAATCTGCTTCTTGTTCGCACTTGGTCGTTCAATCTCTGCTTCTTGTTGATAAACTTCCCCGTCGTCGTTCAAAAACACATGAACTCTGCATGTTTCTTGGTATCAAAACCATCGTTGTGGTGTGAAATCCCCGTTTCTGGTCACATGTCATCTATCAAAAACACCTCAAAACACCAAGGAAAAGCCCAGCATTCCTCCATTGACTGGTCTCCCCATGGGCTGACCAGCCACACTCGCGATTGTTTCAGCTCCAAATCGACCCAGGAGTCCACCATGTTTTTCACCTTGGGAGAAGCTGCATGGATAAACTATGGAGAAACATCTGTTTTTTTTCCTGAAATGAAGAACACCCACATCACTGAAAAAAACATGGCAGCTATATGCAGCTATCAATTCACCGATCTAGTCATGTTTTTCTGCTCAAATATGGATTTGAGCTGCAGAAAAACAATGTGTTGTGTTGTGTTGTAAAGGATTGAATTTGCTCAGCTGTCGGACTGAATTCGCAACTTACCATTGACAATTGGACCACCAAGCCAAGCAAACTGAAAACCATGTTCGATCTAGTCATATCAAACATGCGTTTCAACCCATGGGCGGGTCGACCAGACCTGGTCCAGTGATAGTGTATTGGCTTCAATCAGTGCGTTGAAGGGAACATATGAATACACATGAGCAGAAACCATGGGTGTGTCAATTCCTGCGGAAATAGTGTAGCAGTTTGACTTTCCAGCATAATTCTAGGAGATAAACCAATGTTTTTTTGAAGATAATCAGATATAATGATTTTTCATGCCATCTCATATTCAGTTTGTGAGAAACTTATTGCCCAAATCTCCAGTTCTTCTCGCGACCAGTGGCTGCAGACCACTGGGGAGCGCTGATCACACTGGCACCCGCGCAAAGGAAAAGGGACTTCATGGCTGGAAACAGGCATCAAGTGGCTGACACAAAAATGGATTGTATATGGCCTATGGTCATCCCACCATCATTAAAGGGACTATAAAACATAATGGATATGATATGTTTATATATGTTTCATATATTAACTCCTGATCATGGGGGTATGACGCAGCTACCCCACTAAAAATCTCCATTGGTCAAACCTGGTCAAACCTGTGGCAGGACAGACTTCCTATAGGGTACCGACTCGAAGGTACCTTTAGGATGGAGCTTGCCACCAGTAACACATCCGATCAGCAACCATGGTGCCAGGTGTACATCATCAACCAGATACCCCAGGTCTGCATGGGATGGCACCTCTTCTCAGGTCAGGCCTGATTTACCTTGATGCTCTTGGGTACCCAAGCCGTTTGGACCTATCGAAAACCCAACAAAAATCTCGGAGTATGATTCTTACATGCTGGGATTGCTTGCATGTCAGAAGAATTTGTGTGACATATAGACAAATGATACAAATTGCCCCTCCACTGCATGTTCAAACTGCTTGATCAATAAAACCTGCGGCTGATGGAGTGAGCTTTGATCTGTTCAATCATATTCAATCACCGCAGCATGACATGAGTCTCCGTTCTGAAATGGTTGGACATCCCACCTGGACAAGACAACCATGGTAGGATGGACATGCAAAAACATTGGGCTTTACCGGTTTACTTCCCCAAAAAATGGGGTACCTCGAAAATGCAAATACTGTTTCATTTGTTCATTTCAAACAATACATTTTGTGGTATAAGATGTATAGCGTACCCTCTGGTAAACTAATAGTTCGCTAGTGAAAATGGCCCAGTCGAAACTGTTGATTTACCCATTAGCATCGTGATGTTCCATGGTTTTTTTTGTATGTTTACCAGAGGGTACCATAAAAAACCATAAACCAATATGTATAAACCCCATTAGTTCGTCATATATATATAAACCCCATGAAAACTATTCACAGATGTTTGTTCACAGATGTTAGTTATATATATATACACACCCTCTGGTAAACTAACATAACTATGGAAAATCACCATTTTTCATGGGAAAACTCACTATAAATGGCCATTTTCAATAGCTATGTTAGTTTTACCAGAGGGTGAACTTGTTTTTGGACAAACAGTGACTCCAATCCACCCAAGGCCTGTTCCAACAAAAACGAGGGACCGATCCACCCTGGGACCCGAGACGTGAAGCGTTTGTTGCTCCTGGGGTCAGATGTTGTCAGCTGAACACGGGTAAGCAAATGACATTTTAATACATAGCAAATGGAACATCATTAGTTATAGTCTTAGTTAAAATTTATAATAGTTAAGTTTTTCATCACCACAAGCATCCATAAAGCCTACTCATATAATTAAACTATAATCCCTATACCCTTTTGATCCCTCCTGTAACATACAGCTATGTCAAATCACCGGAGGCATCTGGGGTCTTCAGGATGGATATTTTGAGCCCTTGAGCCATATTTGATCCTCCGAAAAATTGTTTGTTTTGTCTTGTTTTGTTACTACCAAAAAATAACATTGACTCATATGTTATGTATATAAATATATATATGCATAATTATGTAGTATATATATATTTGTATAATTATGTGTGAAAATATAATTATGTATATATATATATATCATATATAAATATAATTACGTGTAAATATATATATAATTATGTGTATATACTTAATTATGTGTATATATATATATATAATTATGTGTATATATATAATTATATATATATATTTATGTATATATATATATATATATATATGTATGTATAATTCTGTATATATATAATTATGTATATATAAAATTATGTATATATATATATAATTATGTGTATATATATATAATTATGTGTATATATATATATAATTATGTGTATATATTTATAATTATTTGTATATATATAATTATGCGTATATATCTATAATTATGTATATATATAATTATGTGTATATATAATTATGTGTATATATATATATAATTATGTATATATATAGTTGTGTGTATATATATAATTATGCGTATATATAATTATGTGTATATCATATATTTGTTTGAGGCATTCCCAAGACGCAACTGGTTGTGGTCTAACTGGTTGCGGTAACTGCTTTCCGCTCCTCCTGCGCATCCTTTGATCGCCTGCCAGCTGGGCAGCTGGACCCACGGAGCGGTTCGTTGTGAGTCAAACAGAAGGAGTTGATGTCATATGATATGTAAATTATAATATATAGCATATGTCTAATTATATATGTCACATATATATATATACATAATGTAGTATACTGATTAGTGTGATGGACCTCTATTGTGGATTTTTCCAAAATCATTGAGTATCTTGTGGATGGTGGGGGTGGGGCTCTATTGTGGAAGTTTTTTCTCAGATCGATTTTTTTTCAGGAGGAGCTTTATCCACCTTGATACACCTTTCTTTGGATAAAGCTGGTCCATTTACTTTAGAAAGCCATATCCCAATTAATTAGATGCCTTACTAAACCCTTATTAAAAAACAGCACCCAAACAATTTTTCAAGGGGGTACCCTATGAGTGACCCAGATCCTCAATAATGTAATTGTTTCGATGGTACCCTATTGTGCACAAACACTTTTGGGGTGATTTTTTTTAGATTCGAAAGGAAGATCAATTGAATGTAGATTGATGTCAATTGAAATCCTTACTTGAGTTGACTATCCTAAAAAAATGTTGAGGGGGGGGGCAGAAAATGGCGAGCTATTGAGTAGCCTAAAATTGTTGAGGGTGGAGGGGGTTGCCCCCACACTAATCAGTAGCCAACATTACATAATACAGTATATATATATGAACCATATATATATATATGAACCACATATATATATATATATGGTTGGTGGATGTTGGTCGTTCCTTCGGCTGTTTTTTTTTAACGATATCTATGTTGTTTGGTTAGATGCTCACATTTGTGTTGGTTCCGTATATCTTGACACATACTGGTATCCCAACTGACCACTTTGTTGCATGTGTTGACCCATAAATAGGTATTTAACTCCGGGCTTAACAATCCTAGACTCCATCTAATACGACGTAAGTAACTACAGCAACATGTCTTGTATAGTCATATTTCATGGTAAGTAAACTTACTAAATACAGCAACTGCACTAATTTCGTTGCGGTCCCCGTTCGGTTGCTTCCGTGGCCAAGGCGGCCTGCCTGGGTTGAAAGAAGGCAGAACGCGTCATAGACCTGGCGCTTCAGGTGGCCAGTCCTGAAGCCATAGCCTCTGGTAAACATACCAAAAAACATGGAAAATCACCAGCAAAAATCATAGGTAAATCAACTGGTTTCTATGGGCCATAGCTTCAAGTTTGCAAACTGTAACAAATTACCAAGAGGGTAAGTTGTTCCAAATCTTCGAGTTTCTCTGCATCTCCAAACGCGCCTAACCGTTAGCCTAACCTGACTGAGGCTCCTGCCGCGTAGATCTACAAAATTGGCGGCTTCACGGCCACCCGTTCTCCATGAGTTCTGTGCCCAGGGTCTGGTAAAAGTCCGTATAATGCTTGTGCTGGAGAAGTTTTTCTGATCCATGAAGCTTTCAGAGGTAAATTCAGAGGTCCAAGGGGCCTCCACCAAAACAGAACCTGGCGTCTTTAGAGGTAATTTATGTGAGAAAACGTGGTAATTTAAGTAATGCAACATGATGGTACAACAGGAACACTGACTACATTCAGTTTCTGTATGCAACCAACTGTCTTATGTGTACATACAGACAAGTATGTTCAATGATGTTTACACAAAACATGTCTTACTATATGGTGGTTTTTGGAAACTTGGCTACCATGTTTCACTCCTATCCACGACAATCTTTGAATGATAACTGTTTGGGTCCGTGATGACTGGAGGAAAGACCCCATGGATTGATCGGAATCCTGGAAGGGTGGACTCTTCCATCCTGGCGTTTGAAGCTGGTCCAATTTTCCACACTAGTCATAAAGCAGCTCTAAAGGCCGGTTCCAGTTTGGTTCACAAATTCATAAAAATAGATGGTGTTATATCGGTTATAACTTTCTATCCAATACATATTTGTTAAACATGCTGTTCTGTGGCTCTTGAAGCCTGACACGCAGCCTGATCTGTGGGTAGGCAGGTTGGCTATTCGGGATTTCCAGCCTAAAAATGATACGTACGAGCCCCATATACCCCCTGGTATTTGAACATAGATTTAGAACAGTGAGCAGTTATTAATGGGTGAACAACATATCAAGTCACCATTTCCAATAGCTATAATATTTAATTACCAGAGAGTATTGGGATATCTATGTCACACCCTTTGGATGATCCGCATGATCGAGATATCACGAGATGAGTTCGGGATATATCGAATCTATTGGCTTTAACATCATCTATAGTTCTCCCAATTTTTGGTCATTAAAATGAAGGAACCATGATGACATATGATGACTAGCCAGTGGATTTTGGGATTTTCCCAGCTCATCCCCACAAATTGTCCCTTGTTGGTGCCCGCAAACATCATCTTTGTTGGTTTCTAAACCCGTCTAACTATAGCTGGTTGGTGGTTTCAACCATCTTCAAAAATATTAGTCAATGGGAAGGATTATCCCATATATGATGGAAAATACAAAATGTTTGAAACCACCAACCAGATAGTTATATCATCAAAAACCCAGCAGTGAATCAAGTGAACCAAACTCACTTAGCGAGGAGCACCGTTATCACCAGTTCTGACAGTCAAGTCCTTATTATTGATCGTTTTGTCATGTTTATTCCCATTATATCTCTGTGAAAATCCCAAAAGAGATTGTAAACAATCACCAACCTGAATTATGTACATATATATATACACATATACACACATATATATATATACATATATACATATATATATATACATATGTAGTATATTTAGTATATCCATGTAGTACTCCACAATATATATATATATAAGTATATATATATATATATGAGTGCTCCACAAGATATATTCATATTGTATGTACATATATATATACTATATTTATCCACATATTCTGAAGAGTTCCACGGTCTCCAGGAGCAATTTGGACACTCGTTTTCCGCAGTCTCGGGGGTGGCTTCGTTTGCCTCGACAAAAACAGCTGGCTGGGGATGGTGGAGCGCTTAACCAACTAAACATAACTAATCTTAAGCCACCATGAAACAACCATCATATATAGATATATAATATAACTATATACTATAATATAAGATTCCAAATGTTCCAAACCACCAACATATATTAATATATATTAATAATTGAAATGTTCCAATATTCCAAATGTTCCGAATATTATTAATCCATTTTTAATATTCCATAGATCTGGGTGAATTACAATATTACACAAACCTGAATGGTTCGGCCATTTGGGGATGATTTCCCTTATTAACCATGATTCCAGGGCCCGGGAGAACAGTGAGGTCGTTATAATTCACCAAGAACAATGAATTAGGTGTCTTAAGCAGCTGAAGTAGGGTTTATATAACCAAAATAAACTAGATATCGATGGTGACCCTTGAGAAAAAATCACTACAAGACCAGTTTTTGACCGTGTTTGAAACGACAGTATGATGCCACCAGGCTGCCACCCTGTCTTTGGTCTCACCTAACATTTTCGAAGATCCCTCAAAACATCATCTGGGTATCAAAATTCACATATTATGTACATCACCATCGGGCCCAGGAGAATCCAGCTTCCACCTTCTCGGGGCGGGCTCGCGCCAAAGACAAAGATCCCTACTTTGTTCAGGTGAAATACCCTTGTGCTCCCCCTGTGCCACATCCATGTTGGTCACCCAGCACACAAACAATGGCTGATTTATGTGTGGCCCTGGGCTCTATGTGCTCATCTACAGTTTTGAATGTAGTATTGCAGTGTGTATTAATATACATATATATAATATGTAAACATCGTTAAGAATTGTTATATCGTATTTAATAGCCACATTGTTTTTGAGGGACGGAAAAAAACTGTAGACTCCTTATTTTTTTGCGCGTCATTCCAGAATCCAAGCCCTGAGATGCTAAAACCACCCCACAAGAAATCCGAGGATCTTCCATAGGGATGGACATAGACTCCAACAAAGGATGGATCTAGCTGAATCATTCCATAGATCACCTGAAAGTGAAATTAACCTGAAATAATACCCACAGTTGATTATACTGGCTAATTGAGAAGCGGATTTCCATGATTGGACGAAGAGAATCCCTAATATTTACATAGAATTAAAACCCTATAGATACCCCATAATTTATAGTTATTTATTTTTTTCTAGGGTAAAATTATAATACCAGGTATACGAAAATCCATAACATGTATCATGATGATAATGGTAGCATAACCTGTTACAATCATCAATCAACCATCAGTTATCAATGATATTAATTACATATTCAACCGTAGTTTTGATGGTTGAAACAGTTAAACACCCAACAAAAGGTTGATACAGCACAACGGTGCTAAAACTACCCCCCCGTTGAACCAACTCCATGGTGACCTTCACAGCCGCACGTTGCCGATGTCCTGCGAAAAAGGCCTGCAGTGCCGCTGCAGATCGGAATCGCCAAGTTCTACTTGAGTTCCCTGGGGCAAACTGGTGAATTAGGTTATAACATGTTATAACTTATAACTATAGAGTTATAACAGTTCTAATATAGTTATAAATAGGCTCACCACCATCACTATGGATAGTTTTAATGCTATGTTCAAAGCCATAAAAAAGGGTGATGACTTGGACTGACCACCTCGTGGGAGCGGTGCTCACGGGTATCAACAATTAAGGTGCTCACATTAAAGAAAAGGCCTTTCTGGCAATCTATCTGACATCTGGCATTCTGAAACCGGCACCTGACCTGGCATGGCCATAATGGCCATTGACCTAAGTGGCCTTTTTCCCTCATACTGAATTTCACCTTTAGCCGAAGTGGTTTCTTTTGCAAGCTTTAAAAAAGGTTGCCTTTTAAAAGCGAACACTTAAGAAAAACAACAAAGAGGCCAGATTCAGAGAGAAGCAGCTGGCACATGATTGATATCTATCTATCGATCTATCGATCTATCGATCTATCTATCTATTTATCTATCTATTGTGAATGCGGTCTAGAAACCAACAAACGTTACTATCGTCCATCTGCCGAACAAAGGTCAACCCATATGAGGCTTTCTATATCCCAACATGGTAAGTGACTAACAAGGTGGAGCCCCCCTCAAGTATATGCATATAATATACAGATCATATCCCAATCCCTGTGAAAGTGCAGGACAATGAGGATACTATTGGAGGTATCTTTGCCAGCTTAGCTAAACTTAGCTAATCTTAGCTACTTCTGGGGTACCAGCGGCCGTGGCCTTTTTGGGGTATGGTTCTTGCTGCGGCGCCTGCGCCACAGGCAACTGCAACCGTGGAGGAATTCGGTCTCCAGTGCCTTGCCGGGCTCGGCTCCCATCTGCGGAGGGTCAAATCTGTAAACTGGGAGAACATATATTGCAGTGTGTCAAAACCTTGTACCCCTGGTGAACATCAAAATAGCTGGTAAATGGATGTTCATCCCACTAAAAATGGTATTAATAGGTATTGATCCATACCCATATCTGGGTTTCCATAGTCATGGGGAATCCCTAATAGCTGGATGCTTTATTTCATGGAAAATCCATCTATAAGTGGATTAAAATTTAGAAGTACCCCACATTTTAGGGAACCTCAGTATGAAAATATGGAGCACATGGGGAAAAGATGGGGCCAATTGCAAGTTACATTCCTTGAAGCTGGAGAACATATGGACCACCTCCCACCTATTTGAGTGGGGAAGGTTGGAAATCCTGGGTCGATTTGGTTCAAGACATCATAAAAAAACACAAGTAAGGCGTATCAATTCAAATGTCTTCAAGTCGACATCAGCAGAAATGAGATATGATGAGATATGGCTAGTCATGCAAGGCAGCTTTACAGAAATTTACCTGTTCAGACTGTTCAAAGTCAACTCAGAATTCAATATTAGCAGACATACAATTCATCATATACGGCTATAGAAATCAATCTGCAGACATATATATATAATTATATATGTAATATAATATATATATATATATAATAAAATATATAATATATAATATAAAATATATGGTCACCGACAGAATTATGGAAAAAAAAACCGTTCAACTTAGGCAGGCGGCGCCTGCGTCCGATTTTTCCATAATTAGGTTTTTCCCCATAAGGGTTCAAAATATCCCGGAAGTGATCCGAACCTTTTTTTTTCCATAATTATTGGAGGTGGCCATTATTTCCATAATTGATTTTTCCTGTAAAATCAGGGGGCTAGGGCAGATTGACCGGTTTTTCCATAATTATTTTTTTCCATAATTATTTTTTCCATAATTAATGTTTGGGGCTCCACCTGTTGGACATGTCATGGATCCACAATTCAAACCCCTTTTTTTGGGGGGTCTTTAGACACATATTTTCTAGAATTCAATATTCCCCCTTAAAATGCATTCAAATTGCGAACATCACATGATATTATGTATATCAATGGAAGACTTAGGGGCATATCCAGATCTTTAGACACATATTTTCTATAATTCAATATTCCCCCTTAAAATGCATTCAAATTGCGAATCGATGGACATACAGTCACCGACAGAATTATGGAAAAAAAATATCGAAAAAATAATTATGGAAAAAAAAAAAGGTTCGTAACTTTTCCATCATAGACAGGCGGCGCCTGTAAATTGAAACGTTTGTTTTTTTCCATAATTCTGTCGGTTCCTGTATGTTAAATAATATATAATATAATATAATATATATATATAATATAATATATATATAATATAATATATATATAATATAATATATATATGTAATATTCATATTAACTCATGATATATGGCTGTCAAAAGCCGCCCTGGTGAACTACCATCATACCCGACCCATCATATTCCGCCGAGCTACCCATCCAGGTCACCTCGCAAATCCGAGGTCCAAGATTTGGACACCTGAGCCATGGGATGGGATGCCTCCGGTGGCCTCCTGCAAAGGTTTACAGTTTGCTATGGAAAATGGCCTATTTATAGATTGAAATAGTAAAACCATGGGGATTTCCCATGGGTAAAAGTGTTAGTTTACCAATATGAGAATCAGGATGGAATAAATTAAACCATAGTGAAAGAAGTTTTTCATAAATTTTCCGTTTCTGCCTTAAGAGCGCTGTTATCAGCTTTCACAGGACCACCATCAGAGTGCTAAGCTACTTGCCACACCGGCACCTCGAATGTTCAAAACATCAAGCTATTCCATGCTGCAAAGTCTCAAAACCTCTCAAAAAATCTGAATCATAATCTCACATTTCACTTTAACAGCGACTTCTCGCCGAGTGGCTAAGGTATATAAGGGGCCCTCGTTCCCCGTCTTACACGCCCACCGTCGTAGCCGAGCATCCCTAAGAACCAATCCACCCGGACCTCATCCAAGCCCCAAAGCCTCGAGGAACATCTCGACATATACTGACTGTTAAACTTCATCTTCGAAATAGTGTTACAATGGTGTTACATTATGATTATTTACAATACGTTCATCAATGTGAGATAATATATGTTAACACACTATCTTATACCATGTTGTAGTATAAAATTTGTTATACAGTATAAAGTTAAAACAATAATAACAACAATAAAAATACAAAAACAATAACAATATAATAATATGTATCTATATATATATATATCAAAAATAATATTAATGATAATAAACAATAATAATAAATAATAATAAATAATAATAATAAAAATAATAAATAAATAATAAATAATACATAATAACAATAATAAATAATAATAATAAATAATACTAATAATAATAAAAATAGTAACAAATAATAATAATAATAAAGAATAATAATGATAAATAAATACTAATAATAATAATCATAATAATAATTTAAATAATAATAATAATAATAATAATAATAATCCGCCGACCCCGGCCTTAGCCTTAGCCAGGCCGGGGCGGCGCCTGGGACCACCTTGGGTGTGCAACTTTGGCCTTTGGCCACAGCCCCTTCAATGCAACAAATTATATCCGCCGACCCCGGCCTTAGGGTGTGCAACTTTGGCCACAGCCCCTTCAATGCAACAAATTCCAGCGGTTGGCACACCCAACTGTTTTTAAGGGTCTTCAAGCCTATACCGTTTGCCCCCCAGGAAAGCCTTACGTCCAGCAGCAGCCAGGGCCACAGCCCCTTCAATTCAACAAATTCCAGCGGTTGGCACGCCGATCTCTACTTTTAATATAAACGCCTCCGCGGCCGAAATTCCGCACAACAGCTTACGCACTCCGCGCGCACGTCGCAGCTGGCCCCTGCCCCACGATTAATTTTTGGCTAGTTGCTCGGGTTATCATAACCTCTGGCAAGGGCATCCTGGGCGGTTTCCACGTACCCTAAGAACAACTGACGGTATTCGTCCAGACTAGTGCGGTTCCCTGTCAGTTTGTGACCTCGGTTTTCTGCATTTGTCATTTGCCAAGCTTCGCAAAGCATGTGCTCGATAAGCTGCAAATGCTCCCAAGAAGAAAATCCGGCAATGTCCAAAGCCAATTAGAGTTGGCGCGCAAGGTCGGGACCCAGCAAATTCACTGCAACCTCAAATACCTCACTGTGCAGTCTGCGAGCCGTTGTTTTCAAATGGGTTTGCCAAGTTGCGTTGTCCTCCAACGTTGCGCCTTCCCACGGAAACAGTTGCTTTAAAAAATTGAGCGCGCCGGGCCCTAAAATTGGGCAGCTTCTCGCGTGGAACACGTCCGGGTTGGAAAGCTCATACAGACGGGCCACATGCAACGCGCACAAACGTGGCATGAACCACCGCTGTTGCAATGTCTCAACAATGTCCCGGCCTTCTTGGATTTCTTTGAAAACAGAATCCCCCTTGTGCGCAAAACGTGTTCAACGTAGAGACCCATTGCCTCATTAAAATTGTACGAGTCGCGGTCTTCCGAGACTATGCCCAAACGTCTCAAAACAGAAAATAAAGCCGCTCGACCTACCCCAGTGATACCTCCAACCGGAGCTCGAGGAAGATCTTTCAAATCTTTTCGTAGCAAAAAATAGTCATAAGCAGTCAAGTTCGCGGAAAACCCTGATGGACCAGGTAAAATCTCTGCAACTTTTTTTGCATTGAAACAAATTGTTACCAATGCTAAGTGTGAAAGCAGGTCTGCTTCAATTTTGTAATGGACACCACCGGGACGGATCCAAGGTTGATCATCCACAGGCTTGTAGTATCGAACACGTAGTGAAACATGCAACGTTTTTGTGTCTCAAAAGGCGTTTTGTATTTGAAATTGGGCAGAAGTCTGGACAAACAATCTTGTCCACATGGGTTTCCTGTGCGGCGACGGAAATCTGCAAGAAATACTAGGAAAATGCGCAAAAAATCTTGCCACATCAAATCTTCGCCAGCTTGCAGTTGCTGCAGTTCAGCTAACACTGTGTCCACGCCGCGCTAATCTCCATACTCGGTCTTAAGTTTCTCTATAAGCTCTTGGCGTTCGGATGCGCCGCAGGTTTCTGCGCTGACAAAATTGTAAACACATTGTAACGTTGCAAAGACGTAAGATCCCAGAATCCAAGCCCGATCCATCCGCTTTTCACATCCACAGTGACAGGAGGATGCTTTCTTTGGGCGGCCACGGCCCGCCGGCCGCTTCAAGTTTTTTTCACCATTGCCACTTTGATCGAACAAATATTTGGTTGCCGGCAAGTTTGCATACAACACCCACAATTTAAAAACAAATTGTTGGTGATCTGTCTTCATGTTTTCAGGTTGGGATAGGCCCCTTACCATTGGTGTCCTGAGGTGTTCCCCGACGGATGGAGTTAGAAGGGCTGGTCAGAACCCAAAATGGTCTGTGTTGCGCCACCCAGAGAATCAACAGCCTGTCCACATTTTTCCAGCAGTCTGCTATCCACCAACAACCCACGCACACACACACACATATGCATGTCGACAATCTGTGAAAAATGTAACGAGAGGAATGGATTGAGATCTACATATCTGAATCTATGCATATATGATCTATGTGAATAAACTGAAAACCTTCAAAGAATAAATGAACTAATAAAGGAAAAATAAAGACATAAAAAATGAATAAATGGAAAAATCAGAAAAGATACAACAAGATATGAATGAATAAATAAACGACAAATAAACACAATAAATAAATGCCTCCTTAATAAGCGTGCATGACGGCCTCAAATGAGGCAAGGTGGCCACATATCCTCCAAAAAAAATAAAATTAAGCTTCTATATGCCCTGTTAAGGCCGACACAATGGTTATAGCCAAGAATTCCACCAAGGAGGCCACCACTGGCAGCCGGCAAGACACCTCGAAACCAACGAAGACCTAGGGATCCGGGTCCAGGCACTCCAAGATGGCCTGGGTTCAACATGGTGGCGTGAACCCCAAATTCACGAAGGTGAAACATGATGATGATGATGATTATTATGATGATGATGATGATGATGGTGAATATCAGTGCTTAGTGATGGTTAGTGGTGGTTATCCATGGTTGATGATCATTGGTGAAAGTTTAAAAAAGAAATGACTCATAGTGGTTCATGCTGGTGAACGATGGATTCTAGCGGCATATGGAGCTCAGAAAATTTTGAACGAAGGTGCACCATGATAGGCGGCCAATCCGTTTACGAACTATAGCTCACACCAGTTAATCATAATTAATGAAAGCAGCGGAAGGTTAATGATGGTTGACGCTCCCTAAGTGACCCTACATGACTGCCCAGTATGGCGCAACAAGTGAATGATTAACCCAACTTTACAAGCATAGTACCGTAAAGGCCACCATTGTTGTTTTTAGGCCTTCGTGATACACATGGCAAACATCATAACATGATATGAGGTTGCAGTTAGTCATTAATCATATAGGGTATTGATCATCAATCATGATTCCAATATCCTATCGTTATGTGCATGCAACTCGACACTTAGTCATGATTATTTAGGATTATTCATAGTTACATCGATGGCCGTGCCGTGTGCCTTTGAGTCAACTCACAGACCATCATCAGGAACCCCGACTTTTCGATATGTCATCAGTCTGTGTCCCTAAAGATCCAGGTCCAGGTATTCCAAGATCTCCTGGGTCCAACATAGTGGAGTGAACCCCCAGTTCACGACGTTGAAAGATAATAATGGTTGATGTCAATGCTTCGTGATGGTTAGTGATGGTTAACCGTGGTTGATTATCATTGGTGACCATTGAACACACAAATGGTTAGTGATGGTTAACCGTGGTTGATTATCATTGGCGACCATTGAACACACAAATGACTGCTGGTGGTGGATCAACATGCTGTTGTCCCCCGGGTTCCTGATATAGATGGGTATCAGATGGCTAATTAAGCTGGGTAACACTAGGTCCCCCATGGGCCGGGCATCTGTCTTCTCCACTGGGTCGACCTGTTCGCTGCCTCTTCCCAGCAGCATGCGGAAGCCGTCTGTGCCAGCAATCACCAGGGGACCATCCACCTGGTGCTGGACGTGGGAACGTGGTAAAAGGTCATGATTAGTCGACGGCTCATCAATGGTTCATCCATTGGTATACTGTACAATGTGATAAATAAATAAATATATATATATATATACATGTGTGTGCTTTATTATACGTACAGTAAAGTGGTCCATCATGGTTGATACAATCATAGTACACCACCCAAAACGAAAGGTTTCCAACTATGTTTCTAACTCATGGATATACCCATGCATCAATGGATTACCAGGAGCATTAATGACGAAATTCTATATATATATAGTGGGTGGTCAATGATAGTTGGGTGTATAAATGGTTACTTATGTGCGTCAAAATATTAGCCCCACGAACGGCGCAGTGTGAGCCTCAATGCTCCCTAAATGACCCTACCTGACGCCCAGTCTGGGGCAAGGTGGCCACATATCCTCCAAAATAGTTCAAAATAAATTTCTACATAAGCCCTGTTTGGGCCAACGCAAACCTGCTTAATACACTAGCTCTAGCCGAGGCTTTGTCAACAATGCGGAACATAGTCATCATACTTTCATAATGACGTGTATACTTGGAACCATGGTGATGAGTCTTTTCAAAGGTGGCTGCAAACATGCCTTGCAGCATGTCTATGCACTGACCATGTTTTTTCGCGATGATGACTGAGCGATGATGGATCCATACTAAAACAGCAAACCATGAGCAGGACAGGCGCTGGTCGTAATATTCCATGCCAGGAAACATTGCGCTTGCACTATTCTTCATAAGCCGCGTCCCATAGCTCCAGCACCATCGTAGCCACCGCGCCGACCAGGGCGCCATGCAGCCAAGCAAGCTCACGACGCCGACGCCGAGGTTGCCAAAAATTCTAACCGCTCGTTGCTAATGAAGGACGCCAAACTTCTTATATAAGCAAAGATATAACCATGACCCTTGCTCATCAAGT